ACCATGACGAAATAGTGAAATACGTGAAAGGGCATCTTATTCATGTTATTACTGCAATACATTAAAGGTTTGTTTTCCCTTTCTTTGCATTAATTATAACCACGATGAGCAACGTAAATGAAAGTTGACTTGGGATATCTTGAATTCGTTCATAGACTTGCAGGAGAGGAAATAATATTAAATGTCATTAAAAACATCTATATTTATATCAGTATAGTTTCACTAAAACTTGAACAAATTTGTTTTTCTAAGTAATGTAAAATATCAGTGATAGTGTACTTTTTCTAAAATCTGGCTTTCTTTCCTACAGGCACTGTAGTCCACATCGAACTCAAAATACACGTATCAGAGATCGAACTCAAAATACACGTATCAGAGTACCTGGTGTCATCTTCAAGTGCAATTTTGTTGTTCCATAATCAACACTTTGAAACTACATTTTGTGAAGACTACTGAGTTAATTCGACAGTGTTTACAATTATCCTTGTGCATTCGAAATGGATTACTTTCTGGCAGTTATTAATGGGATATAGATTATAATATGTGGCATGGCGGTAGGAACGGGGGGTGGGGACACGGGGGGCCGTGCCCCCCCCCCCCCAATAATTTTGCCGACATATAGAGTACTATAGAAAAAATAGATACTATATGCTTGTGCCCCCGAAAATGCCTGATGACCTTTTTTTTTTTGCTTGTCAAGGAATTTTTGGTAGTTGATAGTGCCCCCTCAACTGAAAATCTATGGCTGTGCCCCCCCCCCCCCCAACTGAAATTGCTTCCTACGGGCCTGTGTGGTGCTTTGGGACTTGCTGAAAGTTAATAAAATTTGATATTTTTGTGATTGACATGAGGAAAACTCTGCAGTCGATTCAAATTATAATGATTATAAAATATATATATATATATATATATATATATATATATATATATATATATATATATATATATATATATATATATATATATATATATATATATATATATATATATATATAAATCTACATTTTTTATTTTTGATTTAAAAATTCTTAAATAAACCCTTTTAGAAATATTCAATGAAGTTTTGATATTAAATTGTCAGCTTGATATTTTTTCTTAATAATTTTGAAGATTATATGTTTGTTATCTATGTGTACGTTTGAAATTATGTGTCATTCTGATTGAATTGTTGAGACTAATCAAATCTATTCCGTTCTATCTCCTACATTATTTGTGTAAATTAAGTACATGTATATCGCACAGTGTCCATTGTATTGTACGTATAATTTTAACTTATACATATCTCAACGTTCAGTGTCTTTATGGAAAATAATTAATATCGGTTACATATTTTGAAAATTTTGATAATTATGCGCATTGAAAAAACATATACTTTTTGTGCGAGAGTGTTTTGTTTTTCTGCAGGTACAAATTATACTTATGATGTGTTTAGATATTAAACACTTCTGCTGTTATGTGTTTAGAATTTAAACACTTGTGTTTAGATATGTTTAATTTCTTAGCACACAAGTGTTTAAATTCTAAACACTTTCTAAGACATGTATGGAAATTTTACATGACTGTTTAGGAATTAAACATATAAAAAAGGAGGTGACAACAGTCTTTAGAAAAGTGTTTGAATTGTAAACACATTTTTTACAGTGTAATTGCCCCATTTGTCACTATCCGCATAAAGACTACACAAAATAATACTTCTTGAGCATTTTTAGTAAACCCATCTCACTTGCCTCCCTTAGTCTTTGAAGCACATTTAATTTACAAAGTTAAGGTATTTATGCCCCCTCCCCCGAACCCCTGACCCTGTGGCCAAAATTTTCACAATTTTGGAAGAGGCATTCTATATCATCATAACTATGCACTTGTTTATCTGCTAAATAGCCAGGGACAGAGAAGATACATTTTCAAAATATAAATCAGTAGAACCCTACCTAAAACCAGAACCCCTGTACCAGAGGCCATTCATACTTTTGAAAGAGACACTCTTGCTTTTTATAACTATGTACTTAATTTACCGGCAAAATACCAGGGGGCAGAGAAGTAATTTTTCAAACAAATTAATAATGTATTTTCACTATATACTGTAGCGGCACACAATTTCTTAGGGATAAAGATTCGTTGATCTGTCTTCTGAAAAAGGTTTCGAGGGCATTAAATTTCGTTGTTTTGACAATGACCCTATTAAATATATCCTAATATAGTCATGTAAAATTTAGAGTGGGATTTAATTTTACTGATCATGATAATTGCTGACAACAAAATAAACGAAATTAAATCCTCAACAATGAATATTTCTGATTTTATAGTTTTTAACCAGAGCCCCCCCCCCCCCCACTGAACCCCTGACCTTATGGCAACAAATTCCACATTTGTGGAGGAGGCACTCATTATAACCATGCACTTAGTTTATCTGATATATATATATATATATATATATATATATATATATATATATATATATATATATATATATATATATATATATATATATATATCATAACTTTATACCTGGTTTATTTGCTGGGGCCATTCATGAATTTCACAATTCTGGCAGAGGGCTTATTCTCTTTTGAGAAGTGGACAGGCTTTCGCCTACAACCGGTTCGAAATTTATACGTTTTCCAGAATCAAAATATGAAGGCTTGCGAAGAGAAGTGGATGTAGGCGAAAGCCTGTCCACTTCTCTAAAGAGAATAGCAGAGGGCTCAATCCTAAGAACAGTCTTGCCAACAGTTTTACTGCTTTCCAGGAGTAAAGAAGAGTATTTTTAAAGACAGCACTAACTTTGATGGTTTTAAGCCATGGGGGGAGGGGGGGGGTTGAAACCATAAAATTCAAAATTTTGTTCCCCGTCACTCCACAGGCACTTGTTTCGATAATAAATTTTTAACACATAGCATAATAATAACACTAAATAACTAGAAATCTGACCAGTCAGCAAGGGCCCCACCGAGGGGTAGAAATAAAAGGGTGCAGATTAGGGGATGAGAATTTTACTTGATTAAAAAAATTTAAATATATATAAAGAATAAGCAACAGCAACTGTTAAATATCCAACAACCTGTAAATAGCATCCTTGTATTTACATAAGGCAGTAAAAAACATAATATCTATAATAACTCAATTAAATGTATATTTAAAGAAGAATGAAGCATGAATGCCAGCCTTCATTGAATGTAAATATCACCCAGGCTTGACCTTAACATCAAAACAAATATCAGTTGCAGACAAAGGTGTTAATTAATCTTAAAGTGACAGAAAGATAACCCTCTAAAATGTTCTGCAAACCAGCAAGATAATCAAACCCACGGGATTAATTATACTGCTCTCTCAATCTTTTCTTCTAAGTTTACAATAAGAACTTTTTCAGCAATGATAGAATGGGGTTATTATCTGAATACCTGTTAAAATAAATACATGTAGTATTCTTGAATTTACATAACGCAGAAAAAAAAATAAAAAACAAATAAAGTTATAATAAAAAAGATATCTTTATCTACATGAATACCTTGTTTTTAGAATTCAATAAAATCATAACTCATTGTGTATTTTACCAAAATAAAGTATGAACATTATTTAAATCCACATTTCAGAGAATGTAAACATCATTCAAAATTGACCTTAACTTCAAAACAAACTTCATTTGCAGACAGAGGTGTTAGTTAATCTCAATGTGGCAGATAAAGATAAATGCTTTGGATTTTCTTCAAGAAGGAAGTTAATTAATCCCAAGAGACTCATTGCAGCCTTTCATAGTTTACAATAGGAACATTCTCAGCAGTTATCTCTCTTTGCCCATTCACTCTTATATAAAGTTAAGGAATCTACCCCACCACCCCAGCTCCAAACCGGATGACATAGAGACCCAACCCAAGCATCACAATATGTCTTACTGCCTATTCAACCAACATACCAAATTTGAACTTAATTGGTCAATCCTAAAAAAAGTTATTAGAAAAAAAACAGAAAATTTGTGGACGGAAGAATGACAGACGGACAGACAGACAGACAGACAGAGTGATTACTATAGGGCACCCGCAAATCCTTGCGGGGCCCTAATTACTAAACACTAATAATTACTCTAAAAGTGTAAATGAGTTCGATTCTGGAGAGGGGGGTACTCCGTGTAATTCGGAGTTGGATACCTTGTGTTATTATTATACTATGGGTTAAAGAAATTATTACAGAAACAAGTGCCTGTGCGTCACTCATAGATGATCTTTGCTGAAATAGATAGTTTTCAGTAGGCACAAATTAGCGAGAGTTACTTCCCGTTGGCCGCCATATTGGAGGTCAACATGCTCATATTCCTTCATTATTCAACCAACTTTAACTTTTTATACTGGCCATTGTGAGGTAGGAAGCATTGTTTTTTTGAAAAATATACATTTGCTAAAGCTTCCTTTATTTCATAATTTTTATTCTATAAAGATTTTCCCCCAAATATTTCTGCTACACCCTCTTAGAGTTGGTAAGACAAAGAGGAAAAATTACCAGGTTGACCACCAAGATGGCGGCCAAGGGAAATAACTCAGAGAAAAAATATGTCATATGAAAACTATCTGTACTTCCAGAGAAGAAGCTGAAAATGTTCTATCTACTCATCATGGACAAAAACAGATAGCAATGGTCCCCGAGTGACTCAGATGACCACTAATTCAGTTTATTTTACCCCACATCACACCATGTTTGTTTGTACACTCATCTGTCTCAGTCATTCACCTGTTACTTATCTTCAATACTTGCTCAAAATATAAAGCTTTTTCTTCATATTAATAATCCATTTCCTAGACTTATCCATCTTTTGATGTCATGTGATCTGAAAACGTTGTCTTGTGTGTGAATTTACTATTTAGGGCTAATTTTATGTAAAATGCAAAAAATATTATTCACTGGGACTTTTAATATTGACATTGATACTTGTCACAAAAAAACCCAAACAAACAAACAAACAAACAAACAAAAAAAAAAAAACAAAAAAAAAAAAAAAAAAAAACAATTCATCATTTTTAAAATATTTTTTATTGATTTCTCTGATCAATTTTACTGATCTCTCTGATCAATATCACATATAATTTCCTTTGGAAAAAGTCAAAAAATACTTCTATGCACTTATTCAAGATTCACACATAACAAGTTTTGGCTTTCACAGCTATTATCTGCTAGTTTCAGCATCTGAAAATAGAAACAATTTTTCTTGAGTAATCATTAATTCCACATATTTGAAAACACTAATTGTGCAGTCAGATATCCTTGATATTGGTGGAACATACTATAGTTTTATATTCACAGAATTATGAATCCCAATGTCCTCTAAACTTTACCAAGTTTTATTGGTTACATGATTTTATCAAGAAAAAGCATTTTGAAACCTTTTCACTTTCTTTTTTTAAGGTTTTTCTTTTGAGCCATGGATTTTTTTTTTGTATTTTCAGTATCCCTGGCAATAATTCTCTGCAAACTCAAGAAAAAGAAACTTTTTACTTGGTGTAGAAAGGGTCAGAAACCATGATATTTTCCAAAGCCTTGACCTTTGACCTACTATTCAAACGTACTCCATACAAATAATCTTTTTTATATCATCTAAATTTTGAGATGATTACTGATTACTAGTGCATATAAAACATATTTATGAGCTTATGATGCTGTTCTTTTAAACTGAAAGATATTAAGTAATCTTACAAACTGAACTTTATAAAATACATTAAAATATATTGCGTTGATTTCCCAAAATGGATCATTCTTAAAATAAAGATGTAGACTGACAATTGCAGTAATGACGACTGAAATCTCTTTGTAGTTGAAAAATCATTAAAGGGGCTGCAAACAGATCTGAAGTTACTATTTTCTAAAATTTTCAGTATAACATCATTTGTTGCTAGCATTTTATATTTAATTATAAAAGGGTGTTTAGAAACTTCTTTTATCTGGAAATTATTAAAACTATGAATTAGTACTTAAGAAAAGTATTTGTTGAGCATTAATGAAAAATATTAAAACTATAATCCAGAAAATTCAGAGTAGAGACGTGAGAAAGCAAAACCAACTCACTAGTTTTGTCATACCCTGCTCAGTAATGTGTGCAGAGTAAACACATACGGTAAAACGTAAGCATGAACAATAACACATAGATGTTTGACGTGACATAAAGAAGAATGTCATTGTCATGGAATTCTAAGAATATTCATGCAACCTCAATTCAATAAACCAAATTTATATGATTTTTGAATAAACATTGAAATTTAAAATGTAAATAAAGCAACTGTGTCCAGGCTCCTTTAACAAGTACTGTGAACCAACTTTTATTCGCGTGCAGAAAAATATCCGCAAGTTTCTTGACTTACTTTAATTCGCGAATATTAATCACCGCGAACCATTTATTTTGTTTTGTATTGTAAAGAATGATTCCTCAGTTACGAAAGTTAATCATCGCGGATTGACTATAAACTGACGAATCGCGAATAAAAGATGACGTGAATAATTGCTGGTTTACAGTATTCATGAATAATTCACAATTCTTTCTAATAATTTAAATTTGCTTATTATTTTTGCTTTGAAGGCTGAGGAATCATACTTCCATTTGATTGTCAAGCTTTATGATAAATGCTTTTCTATTGCAGTCCATTGAAATGTTCTTTTCTTTGCAAGCAAATGCATGAACTATAATATATTTGTAAGACTCCAAAGTCCAATGGGACTCCAAAATCTGATGGTCACACCAAAGTCCTATGGTCTACGCCAAACCCTGATGGATTGATACGCCAAAGTCTGATGGTGTGGAAAACAATTAACGTTTATGATGTCATAGTACCACTGCTGCAAACTGCAATGCTGCACCATGCCAAGGTCTGATTGTTTTAAATAATTACAAATAAATATTAAATGCAAGGACTAACCCTCATCTTTTGGATAGGTGTTAGACTAACCCTAATCAGTCCAAAAGTGTGTGACAACTAGTAGGTCACTGTGACCTACTTTTTGATTGACACTCCGAGGATCCAAAATGCATCAACTGACAAAGTTTAATGATTCTAGACCTCTAACTAGTTGAAATATTCAGCCATAGCCTTCACGATGACCTACTTTTTGGTTGAAACACTCCGAGGACCAAAGATATATCAACTGACGAAGTTTGATGATTTTAGGCTAATTAGTATTTGAAATATTTAAATATACCCATAAAATACCAAAATTAGGTCACAATAACCTACTTTTTGGTTGACACACTCAGAGGACTCAAGATGCATCAACTGACAAAATTTGATGATTCTAGGCCAATTAGTATCTAAAATACTTAAATATATCCATTAAATTCCAAAAGGGATCACGGTGATCTACTTTTTAGTTGACACATTCCAAGGACCCAAGATGCATCAACTGATGAAGTTTGATGATTTGTGGATGGAAGAATGACAGACAGACAGTCAGAGTGACTACTATAGGGCATCAGCAAATCCTTGTGGGGCCCTAAAAATTTTGGTCAATTCCAACATCCAAAGCAAGTCTTGAAGTTTTCATCCTTAGATGCACCATCTATGCAAGTTTATTCATAACAGGCCATATAGCTACTCCAAAAAAAAATTACCCTGGTCACTCGTCTGGATATTGAAGGTCTGATTCAAAATCCAAAGCAAGTCAGGAAGTGTCCATCCCTAGATACATCATCCATGCTAATTTTGTTAATATATGGCTAAAATTCACTTATGTGGAAAATCTAGGTTGGATCCAGCATCCAAAGCAGGTTGGTTAGTGTACATCTCTAGATACATCACCCATGCAAGTTTGGTCAAGGTAGGGCTTATAGTTACTTGGGAATGGATCTGCTTCAAAAGCTTTAACCTAGTCACTCATCTGAAAAATCTAGGTCAGATCAAGCATCCAAAACAAGTGTTGTACTGTCCATCCCTAGATGCATCACCCATGCAAGTTTGGTCCAGGTAGTTACTTGGGTTGGACCTGCTCAAAAAACTTTAACCTGGTCACTCATCTGGAAAATCAAGCATCTGAAGCAAGTGTGGTAGTGTCCATCCCTAGATGCATCATCCATGCAAGTTTGATCAAGGTAGGGCTTATAGTTAACTGGGAACAGACCTGCTCCAAAAACTCTAACCTTGTCACTCATCTGGAAAATCTAGGTCAGATCCAGCATCTGAAGCAAGTGTGGTAGTGTCCATCCCTAGATGCATCATCCATGCAAATTTGGTCAAGGTAGGGCTCATAGTTACTTGGGAATGGACTTGCTCCCAAAACTTTAACCGGGATGCCAAATAACGCCGACACTGACGCCAACGCCGGCGGTATAGCATAAGCTCATCTCGACTTCGTCGAGGTGAGCTAAAAAGAAAAAAGAAAAAAAGTGAAGTTATGTTTTCACATTATAGTTGTTAGAAAAATTATGAAAATTCATTAAAAATTATAGTTTAAATTATGTGTAAAAATATCATGATATTATCATGATAGTTTTGAGAAAAATTGTGATATATTGCGACACAAAATTTTTGGCGATACCCATCCCCACTTCAAGGTGAGGTTTCTTGAAATTACCCCACTTGTTTTGGAAAAGAAGAAAATGTGAAAAGTTTATTAATATACATACACTCAACAACCATTGTTCAGAAAAGTTGGCTTAAGGACATTGGCAAGTCAAGGTTTTCTGGAAAAAGAAGGTTTAATACATGGGTTTTTTCACTTATAAAATAGTGATTGAGAGTGATCTCCCGTGTAGAATTCTCTAATAAAGCGTATGTTACAGAGGTAAACAGAAGCACATGTACTTCCTTCAACGGGTAGAATCATCTATACAGCAAGAAAGAAAAGTCGTAATGGCTTTGTTGTACATTGTATTCAGGGACAAAGAGCCAACAGGTCGTCATTAACATTAGTTATGCTCAGTATGCTGGGAAGAGCAAAGATGTGACATATCCTGAAAGGTAGGCCGACTGAGAACAGTTCTTAGCTAGGTCGTGTGAAGGAAGCTGCGTTTAGTAACTACGAATAAAAAATAAAAATAAAACAATGCCAATATTTTTGTTACAATGTGTTTCAATCAATTCAGTCAACTACATGATAAAATCAATCAACCAGTCTCTTGGTCAATTTTAGCTGTTAAGGGAAGCAACTCAAAAATAATGATTGGTGCCGGTATATCCATGTCTTGTTCCGATATATAATTTTTCAGCCAAAATTTTTTAGAAGTCATAGGAAATGAAGATACAATAATGTATATAATACAAAAACTGTATGAAATAAGTGGGTTTTGGAAAAATATTATGGTGAAAAATTATGTAGGTCCCTTTTATCAACATTTTACATAGGAAATGCATTGAGAAGTGTAAAAACACTGATTTGACAAAATCAAAAAAAGAAGGTTGGATTGGTAGGTTAAACGGTCCAGAATATAGCCTGTTTAGTACATTTAAACCTACTCAAGAGTTCTTGAAAAATTCTATACAATAACCAGGAACCTTGCCAATGTCCTTAAACCTTTGGTTGCAGGGAGATAAAAATACTGCTGCAACAGTTACATGAATGTTATACCTTTTGCTGTGAGATGTTTTAAGATGTCTCTAATTGTTTCATCTTCTTATCCTAAATTAAAAAAAGGGGATTAAAATTTTTATAAAATTTAGATACATTTTAACACAAGGTCACTTTAACATACCAGTCTTTTAAGTATCATGAAATTACTTTCTAAGGTGAACAAGAGGCCCAAGGGCCTTGAATTGCTCTTCTGATAAATTGTATAACCTATCACTTCTATTTGAAGCCTCTTAGTATCCTGTTTATTCAGACAATTCCAAAAATAAGTCATCATGACCTACATTTTGGTTAAAACACTCTGAGAACCCAAGATGTATCATCTTGATTCGAAGCCCCTTATTATCTTGAATATTTAGATACAGTCATAAGATTCCAAAAGTAGGTCATGGTGAACTACTTTTTGGTAAACATACCTTGAGACCCCAAAATGCCTAAACTGACAAAGTTTGATGATTTTAAGTCTCATTTTATTTGAAATATTTAGATATTGCCTTCAAATTCTGAAAAATAGGTCATGGTGACCTACTTTTAAGTTGGCACATTCTGAGGACTCAAAATACATCAACTGACAAAGTTTGATGATTCTAAGCCAATTAGTACCTGATATATTTAAATGTAGGATGCTGTGACCTACTTTTTCAAAAATATGTTTGAAGGTCCCTAGATGCATCAACTTACTGAGTTTGATGTTTTTATACCTCTCAATATCTGAAATAATGACCTTAAATGTTTTGAAAAAAAGATAAGCCATATAATTCAAAAAATAGGTCACAGTGACCTATTTTTCAGTTGACATACTCCAAGAACCCAAGATGCATCAACTGATAAAGTTTGATGATCATAGGTCTTAAAGTGTCCAAAATACTGTAGATTCCTAAATATACGCGAGGAATAAATTATCACGTAATTATGCGAGAAGCACCACTCACGAAATAAAATTACTTGCTTTTATTTTTATGGTGCTTTAATGTATGTAAAATCTCTAAATAAATCACCCATTCGCGAATTATTTTTCTCGCGATTTGATGCCCTTTAGCCATTTCGCGATATTAAGTACTCGCGTAAAATAAGGAATCTACAGTATGCCTCTTAAAGAACTTAAAAAAAAAATGCCTGCAAAATTCAAAAAGTAGGTCACTTTGACCTACTTTTGAGACAATGATATGAGGTCCTAAGATACATCAACAGACAAGACTTGATGATCCTAGTCCCTACAGTAAGCAAAATATCAAAGATTTAACAAAACATAATTTTTGGTCAACTTTGAAGTGACCTTGAGACCACGCCCTTTGCCCAAGGATGACGCCTTGAATAATTTTTAATCTACAACAAATTCTCACCCTTGTACATAAGTTTGGTGATAATTTGCCCAGTGGTTCTTGAGAAGAAGATTTTTTTAATAACCATACTTTTGTTTTTATTATCCTAATTATCTCCCCTTGTTTAAGGGTCACATCCCTAGATTTAATTTAAACAATAGCCCTTGGGCCAAGGATACTCTGTGACAGATTTGACAAAAATTGGCCTAGGGGTTCTTGAAATATGGCCTATATTCTAAAAAGTTTATGCACACCACACAAATGGCCATAGCATTAGCTCTTTCAGCCTTTGGCTAAGGAGAGCTAAAAATGATCTTTCCTTTCCCCTCTGACATCTAGCTCAGAACTGTAGCTCTCTGGTTGAGAAAATCTGGACAGACAAACAAGAGAGCTACAGATCTAAGAATGGTAAAACCTTCGATTTACGCTGATGCTTTTTTGTTTCTCAGGTATTATTTCTTGTATAATATGCCTTCCCCTGCTTAAAGCAAGGTATCCGTGAATTAATTATATATTTAACTTCTAATCCTGATACTTAATTTACCTTTCAATAGTTCCCAACCGCCCTCTATGGCCTTGGAATAAAAGTTTTAAAATTCGCATTCTGATGTCCAGTTTCTAACTAGAAGAAAGCACCTTGAAAGGTAAATAAAGTATCAGTCCTGAATAGAAGTAAAATATATGGTGAATTATTGGATACCATCCTTTAAGTGTGGGAACGTATATTATACATGAAATAATACCTGGGGCGAGCAGCCAAAAAGCGTCACAATAAATCAGAGGTTTTTTTTACAATGCTTGGATCTGTTGCTCTGTTTTGTTTTTCCGAATTTTCTCAACCAGAGAGCTAAAGATCTGCAGCTATCTGACATCATGAGTATATAAAGATGTATAAATATCACAGACATGTTTTTTCTCTTTAGATTTCCGAAACTTTCGAAATTAAAAGTATTTAAAGAATGGAAAGGCAAATACAGGCAAAAAGAAAAGTCTTCTCTATTTCTGGCGGGGTTTATAAAATCTATTTGGATGACAAGTTGGCTAATTACTACACTTTCCATTTGTTCATATATATTTTATTTCAAAAACCAAAAGTAGGTATATATTTTTAGTGAGAGTTAATTTTAGTGATTTCATCATGTAAAAAGAGAAAGCTATAATAACCGACAGGGAATAAATTATTAGCGATGTCATTACTCTCCCTAATAATTCTGCTTATACAGTATTTGTGAGGTCCTAACTACTGAGAATAGATTATTTTTAGTATCAACTTCATCTTTTCTTTCTCAAACATCCATGTTTTCTTAACATGTTTTAAGTATTCTTTATATCACTTTTTGGACAAATGTCAGCTGCTTCTATCTTTAGTAACTGAGAAACAAAATATAATTTATAAAGTACTTTTTCTTTAACTAAATATGGTTCATTAGAACCTTCATATACAAGTTAAAGGATAAATAATTTTTTTTCAGAAATCAGCAATATATCTCACATATAGGTTTAAATAGGTTACCTTAATACTGCTAATCTTTGCCAGGTATGTAAGGTGTTGTCAAAATGTTAAAAATATTTGCAAAATTTTGTAAAGAATTACATAGAAAACCACACAGCCGCATATTTAAGCACCAAAGAAAACTTACACTGTTTAAAAATATATTTATATACATAAATATATATATATATATATATGAATGATCAATCCATGCATAAAATTTTTGTTTGTGTTATGGATCCTTAATACAGCTTACCTTATGTTTTACACACAACAAGGAAAAGTTTTCTTCATCCATATAGCACCCTAAAAAGATTGAAATATATTGTAATTACATATCTATTTCATTATTCTTTTAAAAAAGTAATGAACTACTGACTTAGGTGACCTAATAAAAAAACTTAAGTTTTAAACAAAATGTCACAATTACAGTCTGGGTCCTCATGTCATGGTCCAAACAGAGCAGGGTTTGAATTCACCAGACACCGTCAAACATTTTCATGCTGAGTATCGAACTCAACTCTTTTCAGTCATTGAAGAACTATGAAGGATTTTATGAATTTCTATAACATTTTTCTAATTGCCAGTATCTAGGCATTGTTTTAATGATTGCATCTAAACTACAACCATGACCCTACGAATGAGTTACAATCATGCGTGGTACACAGTATACTGGGAAATGGAGGAAATGGAGAAATACAGTAATACAGATCAATATCTTTGGTTTTTATGGTAAAATTAGTTATAAGATTGTAAAAGTAAGGTTAAGATTTTAAAATTCAATCTTTTTAGTCTTTTAGAATTTGTGTTTATGTAATTTTGTGGTTATTTTACTGCCTGTCGGGTTCTTTGTGTTCTAAGCTTATCGTTCTGAAATGTTATTCAATATTCATGTCATTCGACACACCTTTTCTGTAGAAATTCATCCGCAACAACTTTCTTATTTTTGTTATGTGAAATAAACATAGTTCCTTTGTTTTGTAACAGAATTAATTGTAGGTGTCATTGAATAGCTCTCATCAATATGTATAAGCATGTAAAGATTGATAAAAATATCTTGAATACTCTCTTTGAAATTTAGCTAAACACAAATTTGAAGTCCAGGTAAGGAAAGGTCAAGGAAGAAATGTTGATGCAGTTGAATAGAGCTCCTAAATATATAAGCTTAATAGGTTTGATGAAAATATCTTGATTAGTTTCTTAATACCATTTTAGGATAAGTCGGGTCAAGGTCAAAGAAAAGGTCAAGGTAAAAATATATTGGTACCCAAGAGAAGATTTGATCACAAGAAATGGACATGTGAAAAATAAAAGCCCAAGCACCAAAAATTATGGCAAAGGTTAAAGCTTAGAAAAATTTTGTAAAAGTGGGTCAAACTCCTACGTCTAGGTCAAGAGGTCAATTATGAAAGCAATTAAAGTAAGGTCTTGTCACAAAGAATAAACATGTGAAATATGAAAGCTCTAGCTGCAATCAATCAAGAATTATGGGCAAGGTTAAAGTTGTTGTGGCAGACAGACAGATGGACAGAGCAACAATATGCCCATGGGATACATTGCTCAACTGATCACTTTGGCTAAGGAAAAGCAAAAACCATTATGTACAGCATTGAAAAGTTTAAAAATAAAAGTGGGGGGGGGGGGGGGATTTGTACACTACCTGAGGATGCTTCTGAATTATTCTGACTATGCTGTTCTTGAAAAGAAATTTTTTTTCAACAAATTGCAATGTAAAACTTTGATTGCCAATTGTGACCCCTCCCTACCCCTGTGGGTCATGATTTTAAAAAAAATGAATTTACACTACCTGAGGATGCTTCCATATAAATTTGGCAAATCAAGGCTTTGCTGTTCTTGAGAAGAAGATTTTTGATTATTTTTTGATTATTTTATTCCTTTGTAAAACTTTGACCCCCCATTGTGGCCTCTTCCTACCCCTGAGATTTGAACAAACTTAAAACTACTTTACCTGAGAATGCTTCCATACAAATACGATCAATCAAGGCTTTGCTGTAGAAGATTTTTAAAGATTTTTCCTATTTTTTCCTTTGTGAAACTTTAATCACCCATTGTGACCCCTCCCTACCCCTGGGGGTCAAGATTTTAATCTATACTACCTGAGAATGCCATATAAGTATGACCTATCATAACTTTGTTGTTCTTGAAAAGGTTTTTAATTATTTTTCTTATGTTTTTCTGTTGTAAAATTTATTGGCCATTGTGGCCCCTCCCAACCCACGGGGGGTCATAATTTGAATGAACTTGAATCTATACTACCTGAGGATGTTTCCAAATAAATATGACCAATCAAGGCTTTGCGATTCATGAGAAAAAGATTTTTTCCTATATTCCTACGTAAAATTTGATTGGCCATTGTGGCCTCACCCTACCCCCAGGGGGTCCTGATTTGAACAAACTTGAATCTACACTACCTGACAATGCTTCCATATAAGTAAGACCATTCAAGGCTTTGTTGTTCTTGGGAAGATGATTTTTAAAAAAAATTGCCTATGTATTCAAATGTAAAACACTGATTGTTCACTGTGGCCCTACCCCACCCCTGGGGGTCATAATTTGAAATCTAAATCTACACTACCAAAGGATGCTTCCACATAAGTTTCACTTTTTTTGGCCCAATGGTTTTTGAGACCAAGATTTTTAAAAGATGCCATTAATTTTTCACTAACTTGTAATTATCTCCCCTTTGAAAAGGGTGTGGCCCTTCATTTGAATAAACTTGAATCCCCTTTACCCAAGATATTTTGTGGCAAGTTTGGTTGAAATTGGCCAAGTGGTTCTTGAGAAGGAAGTTGAAAATGTGAAAAGTTTAAAGACAGACAGATGCCAGACAAAATGAGATCAGAAAAGCTCACTTGAGCCTTCGGCTAAAAACTATATGCCCCCAATATTCCATTACAGGAGCACAAAATGTTGTTGTTGTTTTTTTAAACATTTTTTCTGTGACATACCGTATATACTCGCCTATAAGTCGGTTTTTTGGGAGTTAAACTTTGGTCCAAAAACCCCTGTCTGACTTATAGGCGAGTTATAAAAATATTGGTATTATAGTGGGTCAATCCCTTTAATGTAAGCATAAAAAATAAAACCGACTTATAGGCGGACCGACTTATAGGCGAGTATATACGGTATATAATAAATGCTCTCTTTTATACAGACCTGATTCTAGTGCACAAATATAATGATATTTTTGAGAACATCCTTTGTGTAGACACCCAACCATAGCACCATACTCATTGCAAGCTGAACACATCTACAACAGAGAAAAATGTTCCAGTTTCTGCATTATTTATTTTGTTCTCCTGATATCACTAAATCTGGTGACTGACAAATGCAAAAATATCTTAAACTTCAATCAGTTTTATCTGAAAGTCCCAAGCATGGAATTAATCAATAAAAAATTGTCAATGAATTAAATTATGAATTAATACTTCATTTTGAAAAGATGTCATTTATATTACAATATGATGCAATATGTCTCATTCATTCACTAGCCACTAACTATTTACAAATTACATGTCCAAATCATTATAGAGAGCTCAAAATAATGGCCCACTGGTCTGCAGCCAGTGAATTTTTAATCTGAGCTAGTTGATTGAAGAGGGCCTGCGCCTTTTGGGCAAGTGTATTTTTTTTTATGCATAAAAAAGTTCATTCACTATCGGGATTATAAACTTGTCTTTGGGTGTTTTAGTTCTATTGTTTCTTGTTTTGTTGTACTATTAAGTAACACAAAATAAACAAAATATTTACTATTATTATATTGGTTTTGGGTCAGTCTTTTTTTAAAATCTACTGGCCCTATGGGACAGTTCAAAGTACTGAGTTGATGAGTAAAAATTAGGCCTTATAGTTTCTTGGTAATGGACCTGTGGCAAAAATTTTAACCTAATCACTCATTTGGAAAGTGTAGGTCAAATCCAGCATCTGAAGCAAGTCCAGTAGTATGCATCCTTAGATGTATCATCCATGCAAGATTGGTCAAGGTACAGCAAATAGCTACTGAAGAAAGATACTGCTCCAAAAACTTTAAACTTGTCCTCATCTCGAAATTGTAGGTCAAATCTAGCATCCCAAGCAAGTCCAGTAGTGAGCATCCTAAGATGTATCATCCATGCAAGTTTGGTCAAGGTATGGCAAATAATTACTTTAGAATGAACCTGCTCCAAAAACTCATCAGGAAAATGTAGGTCAGATCCAGCATCCCAAGCAAGTCTACTGTGCATCCTTAGGTGTATCATACATACTTGTCTGATCAACATAAGGCTTATAGTTACTTTAGAATGAACCTGCTCCAAAAACAATAACTTGGTCACTCATCCGGAAAATGTAGGTCAGATCCACCATGTCAAGCAAGCCTGGTAGTGTGCATCCTTAAATGTATCATCCATGCAAGTTTGGTCAAAATAGGCCTTATAGTTACTTTAGAATGAACATGCTTCAAAAACTTTAACCTGCACCAAAAACTTCAACCTGCCCCAAAAACATTAATCTGGTCATTCTTTAGCTGAAATTTCAGCATCTGAATCCTTAATTGACTGCAGGGATTAATCTAGGTTTTTGGGGAAACTACCTTCTCTGGAAAATTTGGGAAAATCAGTCGGGGGTCTTGAGGCCACTACAGCTGGTGCAGGGCTCGCCCTGCTTGGGGCCCAATTGAAGTTCAGCATGTTAATGACCATTTAGAGTGCACAAAATAGCAAAGAAAAGCCATATTTCACTTCTGATGAAAATTTTTATTTCAAATTTCCAGTTTTTATCAAGGGAAAAAAAATAGTTTGAGCTTTTTAGCTCACCTCAATGAAGTTGGGGGAGCTTATGTAAAAGCCTCAGTGTCAGCATCTCAGGTTAAAGTTTTTGAAGCAGTTTTCTTTTCAAGTACTTCTATGCCCTATTTAAATCAGAAATGCATGGAGGATACTTCTAGTGTGTTTCAATGTACCAGTAAAGGTTTCAGATGCTGCAATTTTAGCTAAAGAATGACCAGGTTAATGTTTTTAGAGCAGGATAAAGTTTTTGGAGCAAGTTTCATTTCCAAGTAACTATAGGCCCTATATTGACCAAACTTGCATGAATGATACATCTAAGGATGCACACTACTGGACTTGCTTCGGATGCTGGATCTAACCTATATTTTCTGGATGAGTGACCAGTTTAAAGTTTTTGGAGGAGATCTCATTTCCAAGCAACTATAAGCCCTATACTGACCAAACTTGCATGGATGATACATCTAAGGATGCACACTACTGGACTTGCTTCAGATGCTGGATCTGACCTACATTTTCCGGATGAGTGACCAGGTTAAAGTTTTTGGAGCAGATCTCATTTCCAAGTAACTAGAAGGCCTATCTGAACCAAACTTGCATGGATGATGCACCAAGGGATGAACACTCTCAAACTTGCTTCAGATGCTGGATTTGACTTACATTTTTTGGATGAGTGACTAGTTTAAAGTTTTTAGATAAGTCTATTCCCAAGTAACTGCAAGCCCTGTCAGACTAAAATTGTATAAATGTTGCATCTAGGGATGCACACTAATAGATTATTATTTTAGCGTGGGACTTTGCCTTACTTAAAGACAACGTTCATTGAGGTGAGCTCTGTAATCTCTGATTACCTATGTTTATTACTGTAAGGGGAATTTTTTACTCATCAAAAGGGGAAAATAGGATATTCAGGGGAAATTTTCTCTTGGGGGAAAAATACCGAATATCGGTAGTAAATATGCCCTAGATTAATCCCTGGACTGGTACAATAAAACATACTAGAAGCATCTTCCATGCATCTCTGATTAGTGTAGGGCATAGAAGTACTTAAAAAGAAAACTGCACCAAAAACTTTAACCTGGGACGCCGACACTGACAGTATCATATAAGCTCCCCCAACTTCGTTGAGGTGAGCTAAAAACCTACAGTATTTAATTGCATATTTCTAAATTATAGCATTTATTAAATTTCTCCTCTATGACAATTTACTTGGCCACCTGAGAAAACACTAAGCTTGGACTAGTATGTTCACTAAATTCGTATGCTGTTGTTAGTCACATCATTGATTTTCTGTTTATTAAAATAGCAACAATGAAATAGACCATGGTTTTAATTTTGTTGAAAATAACTAGTCTTACTTTTTAATGCTTATTAAAAAGACAGGTCATAAAATGCTCACCGTGGCTGAGGCAACAGATGTAGCCTCTTTAAGACCATAGATTTTCTGCCCTATAAGGAGCACCCCATCAGCCCACGCAATACAATCTTCATGAACCCAAACTTCTTCTGGAGGTCTGGACTGACTGGCTGACTTCACATGTTTTTTTGTTTTTTGAATCAAGTCACCTAAATTCAAATCAGTCACATTTCTCTGTTTGCTCTTCTTGAAATCTGATTTCTTATCAAGTGATAGTGAATCCTGTCCTCTTGTTGATGGCAAATTTTCTTCACAGTAATATGGTCCAAATAAGTCCCCTAGAAATTTAAAGCTGCTATGTTTATGACACAATTGACACACCCAGTTAGAGTCCTCTGTTACAGAATTACTAGGCACATAAACTGATTTTTCTACAGAAAGTTTTGACATATGAACAGTGGACACTGTTATAGGTGTAGAGACTTTCTTTGTAATCTTCTGACCTGACACTTCAGGATCTTCTTCATATTGGTTTACCACACGACAATAGGATGGTTGGCTGTTTCTGATTCGTAAAAATGGTCCTGTAACTCTACTTTTACTATCATCTGCTTTCACTTTGTCACGTTTTTGGTGTTTCTTTTTCACAATGTTGACGGTCCTTCTTAAGTTCATCTCTTCAGTCTCTTCATCAACCATGTCAAATTTGGCACGAGATTTTTGAAGTTTTTTCAGTCTACCTTTTCCACTTTTAGACTTATTTTTTACATTATGAATTTTTGATGTCATTTTGTTACTCTTCACTAAATTTTCCGATGTTCTTGTCTCTTCATTTTCCATGTCTTCATCACTTATTGAAATCAGAGACTTTAAGTCACCTTCATCATCCACAAAATGTGAAATATTAGAATTCTGTCGTTTTTCATTTTCTGAACAGGCTTCCTTGTTCAAAATAATGCTAGACAATTCCTCAATAGATACATTATCAAGAGTCATTTTTGCACTAACTTTTAATCTGGTCCTTTTGCTGCCCTCAGCACTCTGTATAAAACCTGAGACATTGGAACCTGCCTTCTTACTTGGGTCATTAGGAGGTAGGGACATAGCACCATCCTTTTCCACAATGGATTCCTCTTCATCATTCAAAATAATGACATCTGCTTCTTCATTCTTCATGCCATCCTTATTGCTACCACTTTCCTTTCTAACCATCTTACTCTTTTTCTCTACTTCCATCTCCTCCTCTGAGTCCAGGACATAGTCAGCACTGTAGTACAAGTCCCCATACTTCAGTGACGAGGCTCTTCTTCTTTTACGACTGGATCTTTTTGCTGGTGTTCTGCTGCCAGCTGACTTACTCTGTGCACTGCTTTTATTCTCCTCCTCCTCATCGTTTGATCTAACATCTTTGACAGGAGAGCAGTTTTTCACTTTTCTGGGCTTCCTTTCTCTACAAGTAACATCAGTTCTTCCATTCTTCTGCTCAGTCTGCCTTGATGAAATGTGTCCATTGCTTGAGCTTGCTGAACTTTTCCTTATATCTTTATTTATACTGCTTCTGTCCCTTTTCTTTACACTCTGATCTGATTTGCCATTTACATTCGCTTGAGTTTTAGCACAGCCAACAGCTAATGTTTGTGAGTTTTTAGTCATGTCTAAGGCCATATCATTAATGTCAATAGCCTCAACAGATTCTGCTGATCCATTGACTTGTATGAGAGGAGGTAAAGGTGGGGAGGATTTGTCAGCTACCAGACTTAAATCATCTTTTTCTGTATCAATGGAAGAACTATTATCTTCCTCCTGAGATACTTCATCTGAAATGCTGTCCAAAGGATATGGGGATTCCTGATCCTGAGTAAAATCTATATCTTCCCTCACTAGTAACACTCCACCATCATCACTGTCTGAGTCAGTGTAACTTACAGAATTCATAGTAGTACTGGCCAGTCTTGTTGGTACGCCCCTTAATGACCTTGATCTTGGCATGTGTGACCTTCTCCATCGATATTTAGCAGCAAGTTGATCTCTGCGTGAATATGTTTTTACCAACAGTGGATTTTCATTTGCTCTAGAAAGCATCTGTGAATGCAGTTTTAAGCTTGGTTTATAATGCAATTTCTTCATTCTTTTGGATTGTTTTATACACTTTGGTCTGTAATACTGAATGCAAGAATTCTCATCACTATGTAACTGAGGTATGATCTCATTATTGTTTTCTTTAGCAACATTTTCATAATCAATTATTTCTGAGAGAATATCATCATTTTCCTTACAACCTATTGGCTTGCAGATAACCTGCTCACAACCATCAGTTTCAGAATTTATCATAGTTTTGCACTGAACAAGACCACAGTTTGGGAAAGATAAAACACCTTTATCAGATATTTCTTTCACAGAAACTGTCACTTCCTCAACATCACTAGTATGTTGATTTTCTTTATCTTTCACTTCCACCGTTACCTCTGTCTGCTGTGTTTTTTTAGTTAGTTGTGCTTCTAGGAGCTGCTGAGCTTCATCATGGTCATGACCTTCTTGATGCTGATTTGACTCCTTTTCTTCATCCTCTTTATCTACCCCTTTACACTGTGTTTCCATCTGTGCATCAACCTCCTCTTCCAAGCATCCAATTTCTGACACATTATCACTGTGTCCAGAATCAATACTGCTTTCATAAATCTGTCTTTCTGATATTTCAGTAGTTTCAGTGGAAACTATCTGATGCTGTTTTTCATTTTTATCCGATACTACAAATAACTTTTGAGATAAGTCATTAATATCTTTTAAGCCTTCACTACATATATCATTACAATTCTTTACAATTTCTGTTTCAAAGTCTTCAGTATTATCACACTTCCCAGGACTGTTTAAGTTCGATGCCGAAACCTGGCCCTGATTTTCATGATGGTTGTCGGCATCGCTATTCAAGTTTTTTTGGTGGTCATAAGATTGTGGTGATTCAAGACAAGCATCATTGACAACACTTTTTGGATCAATCACCTGATGGTCAGGTAACATACATAATTTCTGTAGAGACTGCAAAGGATTTGAGTTCGGCTTTTCTTGGGGAGGCTCTGGAATGTCTGATGCACAAAAATAATTCACAGATACACTGGACACAGACATTGAGTTCTTGAGTTGTGGACTATGTATTGAGGATCTTGAGGAGTTACTATATGGAGAAATATTATGACTAGCAGGTGGGGTAACTGGATTAGTTTTAGGTGAGTAGTCATTCATATTGGTTTGCTGGTTTGGTGATGTCAGCTGGCCTTGGAACATAGCATGATTTCCACTTGGTACATTCACGAGTAACTGTTGATGGTGCGGAGATGTATTGGGACCACTGGTCTGACAGCCAATGGGAGAAGTTATCTGACAAGGTGAACACACATCCCCCACTGGAGAGGGGACCACAGTGTGTGGTGACTTGACACATGGTCCACTCAGTACAAGGGTTGGACTGTGGACTGACTGAGGACTGGCATTGGGCATGCTCTGCCCACTGTGATGAGATGCTGGACTGTGCATGTATGCTGGATTTGGGCTGATTGGTGAGGCACATGGTCCTTGAGATGACTGCTGTGGGGAGGAATTAGGATAAGCAAATTGATGAGTTTGTCCAATATGTTGTTGATGCTGCTGAGTTGAAGTTGGACAATTTCCCTGCATAGAATAATTGTTATGTGGAGACTTTGGTGGGATGTGATATGGAGCTGAACGATTTTTAGTCAGAGGGATAGTGACAGTCTGGTTTGGCATGTATGTAGAAGCTGCCATCTGTAAAATGTTGTTTGCAACTTCTTGTGGATTCTGGTTTGCAGGGTTGTGGCGCATGTGTGTATGCATCATACCATGTGGCACTTGCTGATTAGACATATTTTGAGGTGGTGCTCTACTTGAGTAACCTACAGAAAGTTAACAAAAAAATGTAATAACTTCTATCCAAGGTCACTACCTCCCACAGAAATCTGAACAATATAAAATAATTTGTCATATAGATGTATGTAGCTGTCAACAAAAACTAGTTTCTGTTACCATTTGAATTGCCAGAAGGTCCTAATGTAGCACAGTAATTATTACTTCCCCTCCTATCCATGGGAGTATACTGATAGTGCCTTGACTCTGCTGTACCTCCATACCCCATATAGGGACTAGACTGACCAATCGAATACACAGCACTATGCCCAGGATATGTTTGCTGTTGCTGTGACTGATGCTGCATCATAGAACTCTGATTATTCAAATACCTTTGGGAATTGTAGCCAGTCATGTTTCCAATCCTATTACCCATTTGCTGCAATGTTAAAAAATGTATTAGTGTACTTTGAAAGATGCAATACAGCGTACTCCACTTATTTTGAATTCACTTATTTTGAAATATCGCTTATTTTGAAGCAAAAATAAATCTCTTAGGCTAGTCTCAGTTTCTCATTATCTTTGCAATAAAATATTGGTTAAATTAAAAATGCTAATTTCAAATTATTACTTAATATTACTTAATTTGAAGTAAATTTTCAGTCCGTTGAACTAATAATGACTTGTTTTTATAACAGTTATACTGATGTCCTCCTTGCCAGTCATAGTCATGATTGGTGACATCCTAATTATACAGGTAGATGCTAAGATATCTGTTTTTTTCAGCTAATATGTTTTCATCACACACTTTTATAATAAGAAATGAATTATTTACCAAGTAGTATCTCGTTCTCTCAGATCAGATATTGACAGTGCTTTTGAACATACACTTATGAAAACAGGTAGATCACAAGAAGGAATAACATTGTCTTTAATAATAGCAAAAGGAATTAATATCTGCCTATGATAAAAATTGAAATCTAAATCTAAATCTGAATTAGCGAAGGTTTTTGGGATAAATCCGAGCACACACTAGCAATGATACATATGTGTCGGGCTCTCAATTCTTTATAATTGGGGCCATTAAACGGCCCCATTCCCAATGCAAAAAGGTACCTTTTTTCCCAAAAGCCAAGTGTAAATTTCCCAATTTTTTATAGCAATTTTTTTTTAATCTTAATTGATGAAACTTAATGGCTGATAAGTGAAAGTGAATCAAAATAGTTCTGCGGTGGACTGTATAAATTAGTGCATGCCACCTATATTTGTGAACTAGTTCAGCTTTGATTCAGGAACTAGATTTCCCAATTTTCCCCAAATGAAGAAAATTTTCCCAATTTGAACGGCCCCAGCCCCAATCCCAACAAGAGGCCCAGGGGCCACATCGCTCACCTGAGCACTATGGCTAGAAAAAAAGCAGAAATCAGTTCAGTCTTGAAAGGTTGAAAAGTTTAAATATAAAAGTGGGGGGGGGGGGGGGGGGGGTCATGAATTGAACAAATTTGAATCTACATTATCTGAGGATGCTTCCATTTAAATATGACCAATCATGGCTTTGCTGTTCTTGAGTAGAAGATTTTTAAAGATTTAACCTATGTATTCCTATGTAAAACTTTGATCACCCATTGTGGCCCAACCCGACCCCCAGGGGTCATGTTTGAACAAACTTGAATGTACACTATCTAAGAATGCATCCATATGAATATGAATATGCATATCATGGCTTTGCTGTTCTTAAGAAATAGTTTTTTAAAAAAGATTTTTACTACATGTTCCTATGTAAAACTTTGATCACCCATTGTGGCCCCACCCTATCCCCGGGGGTCATGATTTGAACAAACTTGAATCTACACTATCTGAGGATGCTTCCTTGTAAATATGACCAATCATGGCTTTGCTGTTCTTGAGAAGAAGATTTTTAAATATTTTTCCTATATATTCCTATGTAAAACTTTGATCGCCCATTGTGGCCCCACCCGACCCCCAGGGGTCATGATTTGAACAAACTTGAATCTACACTATCTGAGGATGCTACCACATAAATATGACCAATAATGGCTTTGCTGTTCTTGAGAAGATGATTTTTAAAGATTTTTCCTATATATTCCTATGTAAAACTTTGATCACCCATTGTGGCCCCACCTGACCCCCAGGGGTCATGATTTGAACAAACTTGAATCTACACTATCTGAGGATGCTACCGTATAAATATGACCAATCATGGCTTTGCTGTTCTTGAGAAGAAGATTTTTAAAGATTTTTCCTATATATTCCTATGTAAAACTTTGATCACCCATTGTGGCCCCATCCGACCCCCAGGGGTCATGAGTTGAACAAATTTAAGATTTTTTAATGATGCCATTAATTTTTCACAAATTCTAAATTATCTCCCTTTGGAAGAAGGCGTGGCCCTTCATTTGAACAAACTTGAATCCCCTTTACCCAAGGATACTTTGTGGTAAGTTTGGTTGAAATTGGCCCAGTGGTTCTGGAGAAGAAGATGAAATTGTGAAAAGTTTACAACGAGGACGACGGACAACGGACAAATTTTAATCAGAAAAGCTCACATGAGCCTTCGGCTCAGGTGAGCTAAAAAGTGGTATGAGAGCCCTGTGTGTACAAACATTGTGTCACTGTTTTTAAAGGCATCAAGTTCATACAAGTCTGGCGACAATCAGCTCACCGATGAAGAATAAGATCAGGAAATTATATCGAAGTTGCAAAATGTTGGACTTTTTTCAAATAAATCTTAAATGAACAAGCTATTTCATTTTACAATTCACATTTGGTAAAATTAACCTGGTAATATTTATGTTGGTTAAGTTTGTCTATGTGTTTTAGGTCAGGACTTTAAAATGTCTTCATAGGCCAATTTCACTTATTTTGAACATTGAATATATGTGGTTCATGGGCCACATCACTCACCTGAGTACATTGGCTAGGAAAAAGTACAAATCAGTTCAGTACTGAGAAGTTTACATGGGGGGGGGGGGTAATTTAAAATTACCTGAGGATGCCACCATTACAATATAACAAATGGCTTTGCTGTTCTTGAGCAGAAGATTGAAAGATTTTTTCCTATATATAGGAATATAAAATTTGACCCCCATTGTGGCCCCTCCCTACCCCAGGGGGGTCATCATTTGAACAAATTTGAATCTACACTACCTGAGGATGCTTCCATATCAATATGACTAAACATGGCTTTTCTGTTCTTGAGAAGAAGATTTAGCTTTCAGCTCAGGTGAGCTAAAAAATGTTTCAGTCCCTTGAATTTCAATACATCTAAAGTAGACTGGTAGACTATAACTGATCATGTTTACATTTCATGAGGCCAAATAAAATTATTTTTTAGATTCTCATCCTAATTTGCATAAAAAAAATGGGGTGGATTGATAGATTTTATTTCTTAAAACATCTATACATTATTCTTTTAGTTGCCCGCGTGGCACAGTGGTTAGAGCGTCTGCTCTAGAGTCGCGAAGTAAGGAGTTGATCCTTAAGTCGCAGGTTCAAATCCCACTGTGGGACATGGAAACCGGTCATTCGGATGAGACCGGATAAACTGAGGTCCTGTGAAGCAGTAGGTGCAGGCACGATAAAGATCCCTCCCTGCTCAATGGCCGTAAGTGCCAAGTATAGGACAAAATTTGTAGCTCTCCACCGGCAAGTGGTGGCGTCTCCATATGAGCGAAAAATTCTCGAAAGGGACGTTAAACAACATACAAACAAATTATTTCTTTTTTTCGAAGTGTTAAAGCTAATATGCGTAAACAAACAACTTTTATGAGTAAGTCTAAGACTAGTGAAAAACATGTGGAACTTGCAAACTTTATGTGCCACTAGTCCATACAGACTAGTGAAAACCTAGATATAAATCTTGAAATGGTTACAATTTTAGTATATAAATATTTTTTTTTCCTGATTCCTTAGTCAGATGTTTAAAGTAACAACAAATGCATGGTTAGGATTTTCTTGACAATGATTACCTCCAAACTTGTGAAAAAAAGAGTTGATCATACTTTTTAGACAAGGAAAATGAAATTCAGAAAATGAAATAACTTTGACTAAAGAAGAGTTTGCAGATCTTAAAAAAGTATATTAAGTATGGTTGCCTATTTCTGAATACTTTGATCATGGTGATAGTTTGCAACTGATGTATGCACAGAAATTGACAGAATTTTTATTAAATAAATTGGAGAAAACTGAATTCTTGTGTTTTTACCTGTATATGGGTATAGAAACTTGGAACTCTAACATTAACAACCAGAAGTCTCTGTCGAGACTATAGCTCTACTGGTTTGTACTTATAACAAAGTAGTACTTGGACTTGAAACTTTGAAACAGCAATAAATGAATAATAATCCTTGATTTAGTCTCTTTTTAAGGCAAGATTGCAATCAGACTAAAACTGTAGGAGGAGTAGTCTTTAAAAAGAATTTTACAGAAATTTCTACTTTAATTACCATGGCAACATCATTCATCAAAATCAAAAAATGATAAAGACAATTATGTATCTCAGTGTAGTCTACTTGCATGCCATATTATATTAAAATCAGACCAAACTGTAGGAGGAATAGCATTTTGAAAGTATTTCACGGAAATTTCTATTTCTAGTAACCATGGCTACACTGTTCATTGAAATAAAAACCAAATAAATAGAATTATGTATCTTAATGTAGTCTACTTGTGTGCCAAATTATTTTGAAGTCAGACCAAAACTGTAGGAGGAATGGCATTTTGAAAGTATTTCACAAAAATTTCTATTTTTTAGCAACCATGGCAATACCGTTAATCGAAATCAAAAACGGATAAATTGAATTATGTATCTTAGTGTAGTCTACTTGTGTGCCAAGTTATATTGAAATCAGACTAAAATTGTAGGAGGAGTAGCATTTTGAAAAATTGCTTACAGACAGACAGACAGACAGACAGATGGAGAGACTATGGACACCTTACTATCGCATAAGCTCTTCTGGTCTCTGACCAGTAGAGCTAAAAATCAATCGTTTCTAAATTAAATTTTTATCGTACAGATTGAAAAAAATTCAAAACTGCAATTGAACTGATTTTTTAATACCATATATACAAGGACCAATATTATTGGCATTGCTATTAATTCACTTTTAATTACTACTTTCTTGTTTAATCAACACTAGTATTTGGTCGACTGTCCCAGGTACATGTATTTCATCCAAACTTGAAATTGAGTGAGGGTGGGAATCCCGAACCCCCCCCCCCCCCTTCCGTATTTTTGTAATTACAGTAAAACTTGTCTAATCCTGCGACCAGTGGTTCCAAAATTTTTGGCCAGATTAGACAACATCCGGATTTGAGAAAATTGAACCATTATAGCAAGTTAAAAAATTACATAGATATAAATAAAGATTGGTAAATAAATACTTGATCAAATGTGTCATTTTTTACGTTTCACTTGAA